TGTTTATGTGTCCATAAAGCACTGGATCTAAAATGTGGGGAAAAAAGTGTGCTCTGAGCACAGGTCTGGGAGGCAGAAAGAATTCAGGTAGTACTGGTAGGGCAGATAAGGGGTCAGCAACCTGTGGCCCACAGGTCAGATACAGCCTGCAGATGTGGCGTTTTGGCAGAATTCAGAAGTGTAGGGGAAGTGCCCCAGGCCACTACTTTTCCCTGTGCTTCCACATGGAGAAGTGGCAGTGGTAGCTGCTTTTCTTATGCCACCTTAAGGAAAGGGTGCAGCTTGCCCACTTGCCTACCTCTAACCCAAACTGGGTCACTTTAGCCTACAACCTAAAAAGGCAGGGGAGGGCAGGGAAAAATCTGAGCTGGTGCTTATCTGCTTATCAACCTCCTTGTTGAGAATCACTCACGTAAACACTTCCTTCAACGCAGACTAAGTGTGTAGTTGGTTTTACCACAATCCTCACTTTCACCCATTGCTGTTATTAATTGCTTTCAAAATGAAGAAAGGTATTTGTACTCATCATACCATGTCAGAAAATTTCAGAGAAATGTTCACTCCCTTTCTTTGCTTGAGTTGTTTCTCAACAGACCTCTGCTATAGAAACAATTATTTAAAAAAAAAATATTTCTTACATAGGTACGCTAGCCACTTCTAGGAAGATGTGGGCTCAGAAAACACTTCTAGATAACTTAGCACAGGGGCGGGCAATTATTTCGGGCGGAGGGCTGCTTACCCAGTTTTGGCAGGCTGTTGAGGGCTGCATGGGTAGCCCCGTCCCTTGACAGGTGCCCTGCCCCCTGGTCACCATCTTGGGACCAATGTCCCAGGGCCAGCACTGGTGGGCCCAAAGCGGGGCACAGGCTGGCAGGGGTCTGTGGAGCCGGGGTGGGTTGCACCAGCAGGGAGAAGGGGGAGCTGGCCTGGCTTCATAGAGCCCCTGCTGGCCAGGACCCTGTACCCCTGCCGCCCTGCTCTGGGCCCAGCCGGTGCTGGCCCTGGGACACCAGTGCAGGTCCCGTGCTTCTGCTGGCTCCCAGCCCACTCACTCCCAGTGCCCCCCAGTCCTGCAGTACAGGAGGGAGGCAGTGCACAGCCCTGACCCCCACCTCTCCAGCAGGGAAGAAGCTGGTGCTGAGCGCGGGGAAAAGCGGCCCCTGGCCAGCCCCATGGCTGGTGCTCCCTGCTGCAGGCACTCGCATCCTATGCGGGGCTCTCTGGAGCAGGCACAGGCAGCCCCACCTGGGTTGCAAGTGGCTGCAGCACGGGGCGCTGGCCACAGGGCGAGCGAGGGGCCACTTTTCCCCATGCTCAGCACCAGCTTGTAACCTGGCCCTGCTGCCAGCCTGGGCCTTGTGCTGGCTCTGGGCTCACCTGTCAGCTGTGCACAGTGGCAGCAGCTGCGGACCCCCCACTTGCCGCGCCGGGCAGTGTTGGCTGCTGCTGCCCACCTGGAGCTCGTGTGCTGGGCAGCACGAGGCAGCAGTAGCAAACACTGCCTGGCGCGGCAAACGGAGGAGCAGCAGCTGCTGTCGCCACTCCCCCCCACCCCCAGCTCAACTTTTCCCTGGGTCACATTTCCCCGGGTTCCTTCCCTGCCTGGGGTTCTCCTCTGCCCTTCCCCCTTACCTGAGGTTCTGGTGCCACCAGGGCAGCCACATACTCCCAAGTCAGAAGCCCTCACTGGGGCTTCCAGCTGGGGGGCAGAGCTGGACAGGCCCTGCTGTTGTGGGAGCTCACCAGGCTTCCCTTGGGTCCTACTGCCCTTGGTTCCTGTCATTTTTGACAGGAACCAAGGGCAGAGAAATATTCATTTTCTAATTTTTTTAGGGGCCCCACAGGATATGGTTTGTTTTTATCTATAATTTGTTAAGATTATCTTCTAAAAGATTTTGTGTGTGTGGCCCTTGACAGCTCACCAAAACTTGTTAAGTGGTCCTCCAGCCAGAATAACTGCCCACCTCTGCTCTACGTGCTATGTATGAATGAGCTGAGAGATTAAAATGCAGCAAACCTGCTCCTACTACACAATCCTGGATGAAAGAGTGTGTGGCCTGTGTCCACACCCTAGGAGAATAAAATTGATCAAGTACAGCTCTGTCTATAACTAGTTCAGGCCTTGCGGCCTAATTGCCAGACAGGCTCCTGTTCTGATCACTTACTTTCTGAGGGTGATAGTTCCATTACTCATCAGGAACTGTTTCCATAGAGGTGTATGTTAAAAAATCCTATGACAACCCAACACTCAGCCCTCTTCTCATGTGATTCTCAGTCCATTCAGATTCTAGAGAGAGCAATAATAAACTGGAGTCATCCAGAGCAACAAGTGCTGACTCTCAACAAGCTATCTACATATCTTCTGTGATTCGGCATTTTGCTACATTCATGCACAGCCACAAAACCTGTGTCAGCAGAAAATAAAGGAGGGGGTATGCAGCTAGACAGATATGCAGCTGGCTGCAACAGTTTTGATTCTTATTTTATCCCTGTCACTCCCAGCTAAGCTGGAAAAGAAAATCCCAACCTCTTTGCTATTCTGCTAACTCCAGCTATGCAGTTCTTTATGTGAATTTTGGCCAGCAGGCTTTAAGCCATGAAATTCTGATGTCAGAGCCCCAGGATGTCTGGGATGCAAAGGTTACCTGGCACCTACCAGTCAGGTGTGATGCAAAAAAGTCTTGTGATAATATAAAGCTTTAAAGCAGTTTAGTGCTTTCAAAACTGCCGGTTATGGGATAAGCCAACAAGCAATGGCAAGGTTAAAATAGAACTTGAATGGAAATGGATAGGAACGAAGTAGTGAAACGAGCATTCTTACCCTTTGCTCCCAGTATTCAGGTTGTGAGCAGTAGTTCCTCAGATCTAATAGAGCTAAATTTGAGACACTTAAAGACAGAGCCACTGACACATCATCCTCATTGCTTTGTTATTTGGGTCTAATTTGCTCCATTTTTTTAACATGCTTCTAAGGTAGGGGTGGGCAACATACAGCCCACAGGCCGGATCCGGCCTGCCAGGCTATTCTATTCAACCCCTGGTGCCCCTAAAAATACAGTAAATTCATATTTATTTGCTAGTGGAAGCCTGTCAAAACTGTCAGGAGCCAGGGGCAGTAGGACCTAGAGGGACCACTCAGCAGGCTTGAGCAGCCCAGCCCCGCCCCGCCCCACCCCCAGCCAATTCCCTGCTTTCCTGCACCCGCCCTGCTCCAGCATCACGTGGCTCCCGACATCACAGGACTGCACCATTATGGGTGGGGGTTGGCTGTGTGTGTGTGCATGCAGGCAGGCAGGCAGAGTGCAGGCTCAGTGGCAGAACATGTGTGTGTGCAGGCGCAAGTTTGGGGGCAGAATGGGTGTGTGTGTGTGTGTGTGTGTGTGTGTGTGTGTGTGTGTGTGTGTGTGTGTGTGTGTGTGTGTGTGTCTAGGACACATGGTACACATGTGTATGTGTGTGATGCCTGGGTCTGTTCAGAACACCTGATATGTGTTTGTCTTCAGGACACCTGGTGAATGCATATGTGTGTGGGTCCAGG